GCACAATAACAGTTTCTGGACTGCATCACAGTCAAATGTGATTGTGTCCCTTCTCCGACTGAATACCCCTGGACCATATGTCCTTCAAGGGTGCCACGGAGGGGAAAGAGAGAAGGTGGAAGCCTACTGAATCTTAACTGCCCAGGTCTAGCCTAGATGTAGAGTGGCTGCCTGATTTTGCCAGTCTCTGGAATATCTCACCACCACCTTGTTGGCTTTTCAGGTCTTTTATTATCTGTCTGACCAGTTCCCTTCATTACATTCCAAGTTCCAAGTTGAGAGTCGTTTCCATGTCCCCGATTGAACCCCGACTGATACAAACATGTCTCCAGAAAAGCTTCTCCCACCCCCCAGCCAATGTCCAAAGCACCCTGTGCATCCCCCACTATTACTCCTATCACACGGCATGTGATTCCTGATCTCCTGTGTAAGTGTTTTAAAGCATTTTTTGTGAAGTATTTGGTATTCCCAATAACCCTGTGAGGTAGGCAAGGACTTATTTACAGATGAAGAAGAAATAGACTCAGAGAAATGATTTGATACCTGGTTCCTTTTCCAAGTCGTGCAATAATATATCTCAAGGACCACAGCAAAATACCACATCATGTCACCCAATTTCACTAGGGATGCTCATATTTTAAGCTATCACTTATAAAAACTGCTGGTCATTTTGTGTACAACTGCACTAATACAATGTGTTTTATTAGTAGTAAATAATGCTCTTCACTTTGAAAAAGAAAACATAAACTTTGATCTGTTTTTAAAGCTCATATACTTTAGCAGGAATTAGATTCCATATTTCGTGGCTTCAAGTTCATAGTACATGTAGGACTGATCATTTACTTCATCAATATTACACACAAGATACAGGAAAAATTATTAAAACTTCCGCAATTGTGTTTTATGTGTACATATATCAAGGTGATGTATTTAGGGTAGTAATAAATCCTTCTAGGAGAAAACAACATATTTTCAGTGGTGGTGCATTTTTCCTTAGCCTTAAATTACTTTGATATCTACCCTTAATTTAAAAAAAAAATCGAGAATGGCTGCTAGTGCACATAAAAGGTATTGCATATTGTATGGACTCCTATTATCATTTTCTTATTGGAAAATGAGGATAATATTGTGCTTCACAGGACTGAATTAAGTAATGCATGTGAAAAACTCTTTAAAACTGTAAGTACCGTATAGGGCTAAAACACTATTTGTCTGTCTGTATGTTCATAGATAAATAGGTAAGACAGAGCATGTGATCCTAAAAATTTGAGAGATTGAGATGAGAAGAGTATGCAACAAAATATTTAAAGTGATCATCATGATTAATATTCTTCACTGTAATTTTTTGTAATATTATGATAAACATGTACTGCTCTTGTAATTGGAAAAAATTGCCAATAATTAAAAAGGGAAAAGAGAAAGTCTAATCTAATTATGATCGCTATTTGGGGCCGGCCCGTGGCTCACTCGGGAGAGTGCGGTGCTGATAACACCAAGGCCCCG